TATAGGTCCCAGTGAGACTTAGTGTATAAGTACAATGGAACTGAGGTGGCAATCACAGATGCACATTTCCAAGTGCATCTGTGCATCTAGCAAAGGCAGGGGAATGTCCAGAGGAGGTCTGGAATAGTCCTGCTGTAGAAATTAGTTGTCTGGTCTGGGTACAGGGGCAAAAGCCTGATTGAGCCATCCAGTAGCTGGTTCTCTCCAAAGTTTTCAGTTTCTCTGAGGATAGCTGGCATAGAATCACAGAATCATAGAATGATTTGGGCAGGGAGGGATTTTTAAGGTCATGTAGTTCCAACTCCCAGCTATAGGCAAGGACACCTCCCACTAGACCAGGTTGCTCAAAGCCCCATCCAGCCTGGCCTTGAACGCCACCAGGGAGGGGGCATCCACAACCTCACTGGGCTACATGTTCCACTGTCTCATTACCCTCACAGTAAATAATTTCTTCCTAATATCTAAATCTACCCTTTTCCAGTTTAAAGCCATTTCCCCACATCTTGTCATTACATGCCCTTATAAACAGCCCCTCCCCAGCTTTCCTGTAGGCCCCCTACAGATCTAGGTGGTGCTAGAAGGCCACCTCAAGGTCCCCCCAGAGCCTTTTCTTCTCCAGGATGAAGAGGTGCAGCTCTCTCAGCTTGTCTTCGCAGGACAAGCTTCCTGCTTCAGCGCTCTGATCATGTTCGTAGCCCTCCTGTGGACCTGTTCCAACAACTCCATATCCTCGTGTTGAGGCTCCCAGAACTGGACAGAGTTCTTCACGTGGAGTCTCATGAGAGCAGAATAGTGGAACAGAATCACCTTCCTAGACCTGCTGGTCACACTTCTTTTGATGCAACCCAGGATATGATTGGCCTTCTGGGCTGCAATTGCATATTGCCAGCTCATTCTGAATCTCTCATCAATCAGCACTCCCAAATCCTTCTCTCAGGGTTGCTCTCAAGCCATTCTTTGCCAATGGCAGTTTTATCCAGTAAAGTGAATGACCAGAGGTCTTGAACCTATTCTCAGGCTTTCAGTGGATAAGACACTCAGCTCACTGTGTGGAGCTGGGCCATGGAATGCGAGTGCTCAGTGGGCCACTTTTGGTAAGCAGGACTAATGCTATGGAACGAACCAAATGCCAGTTTAAGGTACTCCATGCTAATGCTCATCAGAGCCCAGAAAAGGTGTTGGTTCATCTAGACAGTCACAGGACAATGACCACAGAAGTCATAACCTGCTATGGAGTGTATATCAACTCACCTGTCCAGTCAAATAGCCCTGAAAATGGTTGGTGCCACTGCTGGTGGTGTGGAGCCATGAAGGCTACACTGTGACTGGTAGGATTGTTTGATTGATGCCTGGGGCATCAGCCCTGGTGAAACTACCACTGGTGCACATCTTCGTGTTAGTAGCAACTATTCAAACAAACTATTAAAGGCCAAAGGGGAGGGCAGCTCCATATGAACAGCAGTAGAAGTGGGTCCTATGCAAAGGGCAGATGCTGGTCCAAAGGTTATGGCTTCTGTTTCCCTCAGCCAACCAAAAGGGAATTGGATTCAGATCTCCCAGACTGGAGTAGGAGAGATAGGTGGCCAGAGTTGCCCAGTGCATTAAAACAAGCTATCCTGGAGATGCTACTGATAGCCATAGAAAGAGCTCTCTTTTTTTTTTTTTCTTTCTTTTTTTTTTTTTTTTGCAACGGGCTGGACATCCTGGAATATGTTTATCACAGTGAGGGGTCCACACCTTGGACAGCATTGTAGTAGTAAAAAAAAAAACAACAAAATATTACTTTGGATGATGATGCAAAGCTGGAAGGAGCAGCTAACACATCTGAATGCTGTGCTGCCATTCAGCAAGACAGGACTGTCTGAAAAGCTGAGCAGAGAGAAACTTTATGAGATTCATCAAGGGCATACAGTCCTATACCTGGGCAGTAATAACCACATAAATATGTAAAGACAGGGGCTGACTTGCCAGAAAGGAGGTCTGTGGACAAGAGTGTCCTGGTGGACATCAGGCTGACCAAGAGCCAGCAGTGGGCCTATATGGCCAAGAAGGCCAGTGGTATCCAGGGGTGCATTAACAAGAGTATAAACAGCGTGTTGAGGGAAGTTATCCTCCCCCACTACTTTGTCCTGGGGGGGCTATATCTGAAGTACTATGTCTAGTTCAGGGATCTTCAGTCCAAGATAGACAGGGAACTACTGGGGAGATTCTGGTCAAGGCCTACAGGGATGATTAGGGGCCTGGAAAAGTGTCTCTTATATGAATAAAGGCTGAGAGATCTGGGACAGTTCATCCTGGAGAAGAGAAAACTGAGAGGGGATTTGGCAATGCTTACAGGTAACTTAAGGGCAGGTGTCAGATGGATGGGGACAGGCTCTTCAGTGGAGCCCAATGACAGGAGAAGGGACAACAGGCACAAACTGAAACACAGGAAGTTTTGACTAACATGAAGAAAAACTTCTTTACTGTAAAGTTGACAGAGCACTGGAATGAACTGCCCAGAGAGGTTATGGAATCTCCTTTTTTGGGGAGAAAACCTGCTGGTGCTTTCCTGTGCAACCAACTGTAGGAACATACTTTAACAGAGGCATTGAACTAGACGATCTCCACAGGTCCCTTCCAAGACCTACAATTCTTTGATTCTGTGATTCTGTTCCTAAGAAAACATTCTTTGCACAGAATGATGCAAGAAGCTTAACTTCATTTATAAAAACAGAATTAATTGTGCCATTCAGTCTAAAAGAAAGATGTCAAATGCCTGGAAATTGAAGCTAGCTAGAGATCAGACAGCGAAGTTTTTAAGCGATTATGCATGATTAGGACTACCTACTCTAGACCTGAGTGGATATTTTGTACTTTGAAGGAAAGATTAGGCATATTTGTAAAAATTTACTGATCAACTGACCACAACTATTGCATTTGAAGGAATCAGGGAAGTTCTACAGACTTGGCTATGAAAGAAGTCAGACTTGGAGAGTCACAATGGCCTCTGTTGACTTTACATAATATTAGTTTCACTTACAAGTACATACGTTGGTGAAGGTCCTTTAAGGGACAGTATAAGGAATTTAGTCACAGAAGTGAGAACTCCTAGGAAACTGAATAATTCCTTTATTATTATTATTTATCAAGGAGAACAAAAAACATGCCAGGAACAGAAGATAAGGTTTCTGTGGAGAGAAGTGAGTAAAGAACAGAAAAATTACTGGAACGAAGAGGTACCTCAGAATAAGTTTAAGACAAAAATTAGATCATCTGAAAATAAGGAAGAATCCAAGAAGGCATGGCCAGCATCCCAGAATCCTAAAAGACAAAGCAGACACTAATAAAAAAATAGCTGCAAGAATTTTAACTCTTCACTGACACCAAGAAAGGTATTTGCAAACAACCAAAAGAAGGTAATGTTAGACCAACACTTCAGACAATATCTGAGAGGAAAAACAAAAAACAACGACAAAAAAAATCCACCTCAGTTTATAGGTATAAAGAAATGAAAATGGATACTATTCACTGGAATTAATAAGCTAGGAAGAAGCCAGTACCAAAAAACTTAGTCAGTAGTTACACAAGGGTAAATGGATAAGGATACTGAAAACGCTGAATTTGAAAAAGCAGGTAATATTAACAAACCTGTTTAATAGTAATAAAAGGGCTTAAAAGGCTGAAAGGAGCAGTATGTTGATCACTGAAAAGTATATCTAATGCATTCAATATTTAAAATGCAAATTTACCATACTGTACAAATTCTAATTTTATATCGATAGTATATCAAACAAAATTTAAACAACTTCTGAGTTTCCATCCAAGACAAGAACATAAATGAAAATAGATGCACAGCCTGTTCAGGAATGGGGTGACAAGCAGCGCAGGAAAGAAGAGCACCAAGTTTAATCTTGTTTACAATATACCAGCTACTAGGAATAGGTAGCAATTTGAACAACCTATGTGCAGTTGTGCAGTTTTTGTAGAATAATAAGAAGCACGTAGAGCTATTAGGGAGCAACCAAAGGAGGTTTATAAAGATGGTGAAGGGCCAAGATGACAAGATGTACAAGGAGAGGCTCAAGTTCTAGGTCTGTTCAACCCAGAGCAGGGCAGGCTGAGGGGAGGCCTGATGGCGGCTGCAGCTCCTCACAGGGAGCGGAGGGGCAGCGCTGAGCTCTGCTCTGTGTGACAGCGACAGGGCCCAAGGGAATAGCATGGAGCTGTGTCAGGGGAGGGCAGCTGGGAGTTAGGGATGGGTTCTGCACCACAGGGTGGCCAAACATTGGTACAGGCTTCCGAAGGCTGTGGTCATGGCACCAAGCTGCAGGAGTTCACAAAGTTCTTAGATAATGCTCTCATAAATATGGTTTGATTTTGGATGCTCCTTCTGGAGACAGGATCTGGAGTTGATGTTTGTGGATCCCTTAAAACTCAGGTCATTCTACAACTCTGCGATTCTGTGCTTCTAAAAATTGAGCATCAATGAACGTAAAAGAGGAATGATGCTGTATCCAAAGAAATCCGAGAAAACAGACAGGCAGTTAAGAATACTTACAAATAATATGTATGTTATACGTATGTATGTAGCACCGACATGAGGTTTAATACTGATGATAACTATAGTAAAAAAAAAAAGAAAGGAGGATGTGTTCTCAGGCCTGTTAGACTTCTGGATATTGGTAATGGAACAAATTGTTTTGGTGGCAATGGCAATAGGATTCTTGAAAGCACCACTGAGAGCTGGCAGCAAATAACTGAGTGGAAAAGTCTATTATGAACCAGATATACCTGCACTGCTTCAGGCTGCAACTTACTGCTTGCTTTCAAACAACCAAATTTGGAACTGAAAATATGGTGACAGCCACCACCTAAAGCACTGAAGTCAAATTTTTCACATCTATTTTTTTCCTAAAGCAATCTATTTAGTATAAATCAGCTACCTCTCTTTCCCTTCCTACAAAGTCTCCATGCAACATATAGATCAGTATGCAACAAAACAAAAATTAAAAACATACTATTTTCCTGTCGTAGGATTCTCCACTGCTGTATGTTGTAGCAAGTGTGGAGGCACATTCTTCCAGGTACCATGGTTTCTTCCCACTTTCAGCTGTGCTGCTTATGGAGATAGTGTAGATGCTATTGGTGTAGCCATCACAGGAGCAGTGGTCTCGACTCCTTCCACCATTTCCAGATGCCCAAACGAAAACTGACCCTAAGCCTCTTCGTCCCTGTTTGAAAAGAACACAAAAGATTTGAATAATAATTCTTCCCTGTCACGTTTTTAATAAGCAAGCATTTGTCCACAAAATGTATCTGATATGAGAAAGACAATTAAAAAAGCTTTCTCACTGAGAAGAACCTGAAATAAAAACAGGATTTAGCAGAGTTTGGAATTAGACATAAATATAATTCAGAAAATGAGTAGGATGAATACAGCTTTAGAAACAACTTTTCTACAGTGCCTATTTGTTGCTCAACATGTATGTTGTCCTGCCTTACTAAGAAAGATATGCTGAAAACTCAGAGAAGACATTAAAACATACTGAGTTGAAACAGGAAAAGAAATAGCATACTTGTAACTAAAATTCTTCGTAATGCATGCTACTTTTGGTCTATTAAATCTCTTACCTTTTTCTGTCTTTCTGGATTGCTCAGTGGCATTAAATACTATTTGTGTAGCATTCGATATTGGCAAACCACAATGTCATGGTTTCATAGACATTCTAAATCACAGAATCACAGAACATATGAAGTGGGAAAGGACCTCAGGTCAGCTTGTCCAATTAATCTAGTCCATTGTAAATACTAAGTGCAAGACACAATATTTGAACAAAAACTGACAAGAAGAAAATTCATACAAATCAATTGTACAAATTAAGCACTAATGCACTAGCTCAGTGAGTTATTTTATGCATATGAAGAGTTAAACAAATTACTTGGGAATATTTGTAATTTGAAATGAGGACTTAATGTAAGTAACCTCGTATTGACATTTTCTTAATATGGCAAATTTATGTAGTGTCCAAATGAATCAAAACATATTTTCAGTGATGCTGGTAATCATAAATAGGCATTGATGTTAAAAGTGAAAATAGTTAGTAATCTACATTGCAGATACATGCCAGCTGAAAATTCCCATGACTGACACAGTCATGTAAATTGAAATTTTCCTGGTTTATATTTGTACGTTTCATGCTGGTGAATTAAATTCAGATTCATGCAACTTTATGATCTCCTTTAGTTATCAGCAGCCACTGCCTCAAAGCACAGAATTCAGATAGAAATGCTCAACAAAGTTTTAACTTGTCTTTGATTAGGCTACATACTGCCACCTTCTTTCATAGGACATTCTCTCAAACAAAGGAATATCCTTCTAAGTAATAATTAAAGTAACAATTTCATTTATACTTCATTTCTCTGTAACATATCACGTAATATCTACCTGGATTCAGTAAGAGGTAGGCCCAACTCTGTGCATGATATTTATGGCATAAAACATCACTTCCTGTGCATGAATTAATCACTTGGTCATATAAGGAGCATTTATTTGTTCTTCTAGACAGAGTGCAATTGTGTACCACAAATAACATGAAGACAGGTGCTGGACATCTACTAGGTCAACCTTAAACAATTAACAATTCAGAGATTCATTTAATCCAGCTTCACAGAGGGGTTTCATTATGGCATTTTGTGTTGAGAGCCTATATCAGTGTAAGACAAAATCCCCTCACAGTTCACAATTCAAGCTTGAGTTCTCAACTATTGATGAATTCCATTTTGTGAGTTTAATAAAATACCTGGAAAGACTCTTCTCTCCAGCAAAATATGTTAAATATCAAATTCTCCTGGCTAGTGTTTACATAAGGTTATGTCTCTAAAATGCAACTTCTCATTAAAAAAACATTTCAAGCGGAGAAAAAAATTCCAGGGTGCCAAGTTAAATGTATTATGAAATCCACATTCTCTAGACAATATCAGCCTGACTAGCTGAGAAGTGTAACTATTTCAACTTCTTTCTTTTCCTTTTGTTAATCTTAGTTACTACACAGATAAAATGATGCAAAATATCACCATTTTTATTGTTTTAACGAGAAGTTTCCTGAAGTGTTCAATTCCTACAGTTCCCTTTTCCCACATTATGAACTCTTGACAAATCAAAACCCATTTTGGTTTGGGGTTCTTGTTCTGCCTCCACTTTTTAGTTGGAAGATTTTGATTCAAAACTATCCAAAGTCAGTGGTATCCGCTTTGCAACTTCACAGGGCCAGGTACCAGTTTACACACCACTTCTCTTTCATTCAACTATCTAGTCATCTCCCTTTTTATATCTTTACTTCATTTAATCTGACAAAACTGAATATGACGAGGAAGTGTTTATGAAGCAAAGACATCAGAGAATTCCTCCCCAGTGTGGAAAAAATTGCACCCATTGACATTCACTGCCATTTGGTGAATGTTTCTGGAAACTAAACAATGGATGTGAGCATGATAAGGTGGTGGGTGGTGCATTTCAGCAGTAGTGACAGTGCCCCACTTCTACTTGTGCAGGTCTTTGCAAGTACAGAAAGTAGGTTCCTGTTCATAGCTGTTAAGAATGCATGGCTAATGGTGGTGACTATGTTGAAAACTAGTGCTTTGTAGCTGCAGATTTGCTGTATCAAACACTACTATTGTGCTCTTTGTATTTGTTGCAGTTTCCATGGAAATAAATAGGAGGCAGTACTTCTGGGGCAACCTACGTGTTATCCCAGTAGGTCAGGGAGACAGAAATTAGGGCCCTCTGCCTATCTGTGGAGAATGGAAAGGATGGTTTTACTAAAAATATGCTGCTATTTCTCTACACTTTTATCTGTTCCTTCTTGATTTTTATTGATTTTGCTTCAGTTTGCTCCCATCATCTCTTGCAATTAGCAAACACTTTCCAGCAGTATTTTATTATTTGTTTTCATCTTGTCACTTCAACAGTATTTCTGGCTTATCTGTCAATTGTGACATCCATTCTGGGGGTCATGTAAAGATTCTTGTCTTGACCTACACTGCTCTTAAAAAACAACTTCTGTCTTGTACATACACACAAACCAATGATGTAATACATGGAAAAGCAGGCAGAGTAGATACTGCAAAGCATATTACACAGACACACAGGACTAGTCAAAACCATTCATCAAAATGTTTTGGTGAATTTTTTTTGTCTCCTGAAGAATTTTACATGTGTCTCTTTCTTATGCTTTTCCTTTTAACACAATATTATGTAGCTATGTTTGGCCTACTTGGTACCCCACTGGAAACACACAGTAAACCACCACCAGCAGTATGACCACTGAAGAAATGAGAGCTGGAATCTATTTTATTATTTTCTCTAAAAGTCTATCTCACATATTTTGTAAAAAATAATATAAAATACAAAAATGAATAAATTTATGCAGAGAAGGAGAAGACCTTCTAGTCCACCTTTTTTTTTTTTTTTTTTTTTAATTTCTTTCCCCCATCAACGTCATCTGTTTTGGCTGATAGGTCTGTAGATAAAATATAACATGACTTGTCCCACTCATGCAAAAAAAACCATTTCACAGCAGGGTAGGACTGCAGTTTGTGTGAATTTTGCAGAAACTGAATTATTAGCTTCTCCGAACAGAGAATGTGTCTATACTTCTTTAGATACATATTTCTGCTGCTGTACTAATCATGAAAAATGAGCTGTGGAAAATGATACGCAAATACATTTTGGGGAACAAAATATAGCCTCATTACAAATATACCCATGGATGTTACAAATTCTGCAATGCAGTATTTAAAATAATATACACCAGTTTAAATTTTAATAGTAATGACTGTTTTAAAAATAACAGCCATTTACACCTAGATTTGCCTTCAAATACTTATTTTTTTAAGCAACTGATAACATGTATTTCTTACAAACTAATGTCTCCTGTAAACATATTAAGTATCAACATCTCTGTCATTGCAATAAAAAGTAAGTACCAGGTTCACTGACTAATGGAAAAGAGTATTTACTAATACACAGAAAGAAAGAATTGCCATTTCCTAGCACACTGCAATACTGAAATCTTTTCAGAGAAAATAGCATTACCTACAATGTAGAAAACATGCAAAATATCTTGCTCCTAAAAGGCATTTGGCAAAGCAAGTGGCAACCTCCTCAAAACTAAATTTGACCTGACCAAAATAATATATCAAGAAAATAAGTTCTGGTTTACATTTACTGTCTATTGTTAAGCTGCAATTGGTTTCCTCCTTCTCCATGTTTCCAAACACCCCACTTTAATTCAATAGACCCAGTCATGCTCAGGAAATTATAAACTTGCTAGTAACTATACCAAACAAGTAATTAGAGCAACAACATCAGCTGTCCTACTGTATGTGAATGCATTTCCCAATTGGTCTCCTTTCAATACATGAAGTTAAATAACATTTGGGCTGTGTTACAAAGTTAAGATAAACATACATGCAAGGCACTCTGCAGCTTTTACTGTTTGTCTAAATCTATCATCTGTCATCTGCCAGATGCCCAAGGGTGTCAAGATGAAAAGTCAAGCCTTAAGCTGCCAAAGAAGCCATGTGTCATTTATTACTGAAAAGCAAAGGTGCATTTACAGACCATATGGGTACAACTTGGATGAAACTAATACAGTTAGAGAGTTACAGCAGAGGTATGGACGAGGGTGGAAAGGGTGCAGAGCAAAATATGCTGAATGCTTCTCCCATGTTGTTAAAAACCACCTCTCCCCTTAAGCCGTGTTGTGTCTGCTCTATAATTTGCAGTGGTAGCTACCAACTCCCTCCTACAGACTCCGCAAGGTCTGTAACTGCACTTTTGCATTTCAGTGAACCAGACCATTATGAAATGGTCTCCTTTTGTTTTGTCTGCTCTCTTACATTGCTTAAAATGCCAGATGACTAAAAAAAAAAAAAGTAAAAAAAAAAAAATCACATGCTCCATTTTGAAATGAAGTGTTTCACTGACATCTAAGACTTGCTACTGACCTACTGACTCAGTCCAATTTTCTAGCACATTTCTTGGGCAATGTTAGTGTTCTCCACACGCAGCTGACTGTAAATGAAATGGACTCAAGTCATTGATAAAAAGAGCCCAAGGCAAAGACTGCACCTGTAAAAGCACAGCACAAGAACCGTGGGGCGTTCCCATTTTTTTTTCTGGTAGTACCTCCCTTTCCTTGGTCAGCAAGTTGCAAAGGGGTAAAGTGAT